CAGAGACAAGGCAGATAATAGTGGAGACACAAAGAGAGCTTTCTGCTGAGAGGAAGGAGAAACTGGCTGCTGAGAAGAAGGCACAAAAGGAGGCTGCTGCTGCAAAGAAACTAGAAGAGAAGAAAGCCATTGCTACACAGAAGGAATCAGAGAGACAAGCACTCCTAGCAAAGAAGCAGGAAGAGAAACAAGCCCTTGCTGCAAAGAAACAAGCAGAGAGACAATCCATTGCAGCAAAGAAGGAGCAGCTGAGGAAACAAGCACAAAGAAACATGGAGGGAGCTGGGCATGTGCCAGAAAGATCAAGCATGTTTAACATCTCTAGATGATCTACGAGACTGTTTATCTTGGTTTAGCAAGAGTACTCCTTCAGCAATGTAAAATATGATTGTGTTTCCCTTTCTTGTTATATTTAGATGATCTATGAGACTTTTTATCTTTAGATGATCTTATGGTACTCTATTTTGAGTAGTGGTAATGAAGATGCAGTACAGAATCTATATTTTGGTATCAAAACTGTCTTGTCTGTCTACTCATTTGTTGTCATTCTATTGTTGATGTCAATACTGCTTCCACATTACATCCTGGCTGCCATTATTTTCATTTCATAAAAATGATATGATAACATTACACAACAACTCATTTCACAGTTATCATGTCAGAAAGATAACAGAATACAGAGACAATGTTTCCATTAAAGATAGATATATAGATCACTTCATACATTTTTGGCCTTGACAACCATAACATTTGGTACAACCAAGCTAACTTCATAGCCATTTCCTAACATTGAACTAGTGAAATTACTTAACATGCTAAACTACTGAAGCTGTTCTTCACTTCTCCACTACCAAAATGAGCACTTGTCTTCATCACTTCTTCTTCTTCTACAGTACTCCTTCATCACTTCTTCTAATGCAGAGAGCACTTGTCCTCACTTCTTCATCAACAGAAGAACACAGAGGGCACACAACAACATCACACTACCTAGCAGAAGCTTTAGCAGCACCAAGATCTCTGCACCTAATCCAATCAATGCACTTTTTTGGTGCCTGCTCATATTCTGCTGCAGAGAGCCAGGCCTTGCCAAAGCAGCTCTACTAGTTGCCACTTGAGCTGCAATCCTTCTCCTCTCATTCCTAGCCCTAATGAGTTCTTCCCTCCTCTCCTCTGTTGCTCCAACAGCATCCACAGCTTGGTTCCCAACCAAGAAATGAGCATCTACTAGGTACACAACATATTCCATCTCCCAAAACCAGAAATCACACCCAGTAGCCTGCAAACCAACAGCAAAAAATCAAACTTTGACCAAAAAAAGGGCAAAACTGCTGCCAAGAACAAAATCAACTGATCCTCTGTGTTACTTACAGAGTGATTGGGACATCTGTAGAACACCCAGCCCTCGTGATCCTCTGTGTTCGAAACGTAGTACCTCACTGTTGCCTGGCAGCGAGGACATGGGATGAGTGGCACCACCACTGTCCGGCCGCGGAGACCAGACAGGGCAGAACTAGCAGAAGACATGGCGCAGTGGTCGTCGGGGCGAGGGCAGGATGGGCGCGCGGCGGCGAGAGGGCAGGATGGGCGCGCGGCGGCGAGAGGCAGGATGGGCGCGCGACGACGAGAGGGCAGGATGGGCGCGGCGGCGGCGAGAACTAGGGATTTGTAGGGGAGAATTGGGGATTTCTATCTAAACGGCTTTATTACAAAAACGACCTCCCGCAAATGGGCACTTAAACGTAAATCCTCTGCCCGCCTACGTGGAGCCCGTGGACTGGTCAAAATTGCGGCGTACGTTGCGTCTACAGCGCACAGTGACCATATTTTCACTGCTCGCCGTACACAATAACCGTATTGCGTGAGTTCTTTTGTACAGTGACCAAAGTGACCGGGCGACACAAGTTGAGGATACTCGGTTCATAATCAGCTGCTACCTTTTCGTGGTCTTTTCCACTGCGCATGCACAAAATTAGGGCCGGTTTTCCTCAACTGACCATCATACTACCTGCAGCGGCATGTCGCGCCACCCACCGTCGCCTCCTTTCTGCCGGTGGTTTGGATTGGACGCCACGAGTGGGCAGATACACACTCACCACCCGCACCCCAGATTAACTACGGGCAGACTAGACTAGATTAGGTTAGGGGGGCGGCCTAGGTGGTAGTGTGTCCCGGACGAATTATTGGGTGGTAATTCGCCGATGATGTGAAGGCATGGTGCTATTGCTGCAGCTGGTACTGAAGTTCTACTGTGCTACGGTCCACACTAGCAGCAGTACTACTGCCGTGTGGCTGTGAGTTGCACCAAGCCGCCGACCTGTGTGCTGCACCAAGCTATCTTCGCCTAGCGAACTGCACCAACCTCACGCCACGACATCAAGCTGTATTAAAAAGGAAAACTCCGTCGAGCACTACAAGAAGCGACCTTGGCATGCACCACTCACATGCCAGATCGGTGTGAAAAGAGATGTAAATTTTCATCGACTTCTCCGGCACGACACGTCATTGACACTTCGGCGCGGATGCCTTCCAGTGACGCCTCATCACTGACACGTCGCTGCAACGCCAACGTCGACACTTCATCGCGAAGGTCTTCATCAAGTGGCCTTCATCACATCTTCGTCAACACATTGTCGCCGCCCCGTTCACAAGATGGACATCTCCAACGTCCTCTGACGGTATAACTGCAAGACGCGACCACGACGGAGGCAGACCGCGTCATGACGACGACATCGATCGCGTCGTCTACGACGGCACGACTGTATCAACACGGTCCTGGTAAACGGATGTGTGCTCAATGGGTTTCTTCTGGTCATGACAAAACCGATGGTCTCATTGCCAACGACACCCCCTGACATCTGCAAGGTGCATCGTCCAGGACTGCAACTTTGTCATCTACAACATAGCATAATTTTTTTGCGCCTCCGGCTTTTGTGCGGTTCCATCTTCCACGTCGACTACACCATCGACCACGGCTACATCATCAAGATCGGCTACCTCAACATCGACAAGCGAGCTACGTCTACAGCTACTCATTGACTATAACTCCAGTCAACAGCGTCTGCATCGTCACTTGTGTCCACGACACTCTCGCTGTGACTACGGCAAGGATAGAGATGAAGACACGGAAGGCGCACGCTGAAAGGGGACACAATCACCGCACTAGGTTCTAACCCATCAGCCATTCGAGACACAATTGATGATGGCACAAAAGAGAAGACGACAAAAGCGCAAAAGTTCAAATTCGGTCACAATCGTCCGTTTTACTCCCGCTATGACTGAGGGAGAATGTTAAAAGTATAATTATGTTTAAGTTGAAGATTAAGAGTTAGAGATATAATATATTTATAAACCATGTACGGTGTGCCCTCTATTCTAAATCTCTCTCCCTCGTATCGTATTTTTATATATTCTTCATACGAGGATCAGATGAATACAACAGAAATATTAGGGATCATATAAAGCGCTGCTACACGGACGACAAATTCACGACCGACGCCTGCACGATCCTACTCCCTCCGTTCCTAAATATAAGTCTTTGGAGAGATTACACTATGAACCACATACGGATGTATGTAGATGCATTTTAGAGTGTAGATTTATCCATTTTACTCTGTATGTAGTTCATAGTGGAATCTCTACAAAGACTTATAGGAGTATTTAGGAACGGAGGGAGTGCTTGGCGGCATCAAAAGCTAGCGTGCATGCATGAATCGCTGCTGGGGGAGGATGCATCGTTCGCAGATCGTGCGTGCAGCGTCATGTGTAAAGCAATTTCGTAATTTCTACCAGGCTTTCTACTAGGCGCTCCTCTCTCTCCGGGTGCAGATCGGCAGCGGCTGGTGACGGTGGGCCGGTTTGGTAGGATGGTACACATCTTCTCGTGCATTGATTGGGTCGGCCTGCATAAAGTGCGTGCCTGACCAGAATGAGCGTCCGGGCCCGATGGAACTGTACTTTTTGTATTTTTTTTGAGCTACTCCAGCTGTGGTGTGTGTGGTACAAGTAGTGCTGCTGCGTCCCCTGTGTGTCTGAGAAAGCGAGAACGTTTGTTGTGCTTCGGTGCTTCCCAGCTGCTGACTGTGTGCCATTGGCCGTGGGATCATCCGGCACCCACTCAAGGAAGCAACCGCACATTTGGTTTGACATTCTCACAAGAAAGTTTTTCCTTTTGTCAAAAAATACCCCTGAGAACAGGGATTTGATCTCGGAGCACCAACGGAGGGCAAACATCGCTGATGGCAGATGTTTTCCCCTTTCTTTTGCGGTAAAAGAAGGTTTTTCTGTAGAGAAGCACTGCTAGTTTTTTTTTCCTTTTCTGAAGAAAGAGAAATACTGCTAGTTGTGTTTGAACTTGAAACCAAGCCTGTGTGACCGGACCAGGGTCAGAGACAAATTTGGCGTAAAATCCTCTGAAAGGAGGTTTTCTCTTTTTGTCGAATGAGCAGAACCGTCTGATCCGAATCATCCGGTCTCCGTCAGCAAGGGTAGCAACAGCGGGTGGCGAAATCAAGTCATGTAGTTAACCAGTGAAACTAAAAGAAAAAATCAATGCAAAAAAGTATTCAAAACTCAAGTCAGCCACAAAAAAACCTACCTATGCATATAGGTGATCACTTTGAGCAATTTGGCATTCATGTTCAATGAAAGAATCAATCATGCGTAGACATCATGCCACTCAGAGGCCTCATGAGAGGAAGAGGAATGTGATAACAGCATCCGCACAATTGGCCTTTTCAACAGAAGACCACAACTAGGCTCGTGCACCGCGCGTGCGTTGCGGCGTGTATATATTCTTCACTCTCTTCAGAATGTTGCAACCTGTACGATGTTAGCTACACTAACCCTTCTCCGGCAGATCAGACCCTCCTCAGATGATATATACTATACTCCCAGGAACTTGCGCGAGGTGTTTGTGTGCCTCTTTCAGTCAAAGAGGTGATGATCAGCACTTGTGTGCTGGATCCGCGCGTCAACTCTCCATCCAAATGTTCTTCCTTCGCTCAAGGGAAGAAGAGCTTCGCGTAGAGCAGCTCGTTCCAGGTGTCCTGGAGTCCCGGGAGGCACCAATGGGTGCAGTCGGCGTAGCTCTTTGGGTTGGCGATCTGCTCCGGGGTCAGCGGGTTCCACTGCTTCTTGTATATCTGGGTGTGCGCGTCTTTGCGGTACTCGGAGAGCTGGGTGATGTTGACGACCCCAACGGGGACCTTAGAAGCACTGAACACTTCGCCGATAACCCGCATCAGGCCCTTGCTAGTGCCTGGTCCCCAGTAAGACAAATCTTTGATTGGGGTAGTTTGGTTGTAGCAGTTTCCATCAGACTTGTCGCCCCAATCTTTGCTCCTGATGATAAAAGAAGATCAGAAACATGGGTCAGATTTCAATCAATCACATGAGACTTAGTATAGGATGAGCCGATCAGTTTCTTCATTTGATGGAAATTTTAACTAAATAATTGATATAAATATGAGAGCTTACTGGGTATGAGTAGGTGACATAGTGACAAAAAACGCCCTTGAACTTTTTGGGTCCATGTTGTTCTCGACCCATTTCGCCACGGCATTCAGGACCATCCCATATGCATCCTCTGTTTCCATTTCTTTGATGTCCTTGTTCTTATCTTCAAAGGAATTTTGCCTGCAAGAAACAGAATTTCAGAACCTTTTTTTTTTCGAAATTACAAGATGACTCATCATAAAATGCCCCGCTTGTCACACTCCAAATAATACATCATGTGATTTGTATCTCATGTTTACTTGACTATATCCCCTACTTTCATGTTTCTCCAACAGGATGCGATATTTAACAAGACACGGTCTTTTCATGTTAATCTTTCCAGTCAAAGTCAGGATGACTACCACAAAAAAACAAGAATATGGCAATCGAATCATAAGGCGCAAAATATAAAAATACGATGTAGCTCTCACATGCCCTTTAAAATTTAAGCTAGCTTCAAGCAAGCAGCAACTTGTGATACCCTACTTGTCACTCTTCAAATATTTGATCATTGCCATCATGCACCTATAATTTTTGTCGCATGTTTACTTGATTATATCCGCTACTTCCATGTTTTTCCAACAGGATGTGATGTTTAACAAAGCATGATGTTTTCATGTTAATTTTATGATTCAAAGTCGGGATAACTACCAAAAACAATAAGAATATGACAATTGATCTGCGGCCCAAAAATATATGAATGTGATGTATTAACAATGATGTACCCTTAAAAGTTTAAGCTAATTTTCCCTCAAAAAAATTAAGCTAGCTTCAAGCAAGAACAGCTTGTAGTCATGTAGAAATTACTTACAGAATTTTCATCTTTTGTCCGGTCATCCACCACAGGTAGGTATTGAATACCACAACGTCAGCTCCTTTCCAAAACTTGGCGTGCTTTTCAATGGCTGTGCCCCTTACTATTCTATCCGTGACACGGTGAACAACAGCATCGTCGGAATTTGATTCAGCTAGAAAGGGGGCCCAATAGAACTCAATCGTGGCATTGTAGTCCTGGGAAAATGAGGCATTAAGCATATTCAGTATGGATGAGATTAGAGACAAAGGGTAGCCCGCAAGTTACAAAAAGGAACACCGTTTTGAGATGAAGATATTCAGATGGAAACATCCATAAACTTGGGGAGCCTGTTGCTTATTGCCATATCTAGTAATCTTCGGTGTTCACAGTAGTTCATTGACCAACAAAAGGTTCAGTGCAGTGCTTATTGCGTTATATGTTGCTGTGTGGAAAAAAGAAGGGAAATCTTTGGTCTGAAAACTGTCAGCGAGTCAACTGTGAGTTTTAAGATCAAGTCATTTGAATGAGAATATTCATAAACTTGGGTGTTTGTAGCTTGCTGAGATATATAGTTATCTATTGGTGTTCACAGTATGTTCATTGACTGAAAAATAGGTTCAGAGCAGTGCTTATTGAGTTATGTATTGCACTGTTCATCTATACCATGTAAAAAGAAACGAGGGAGTTTGTTGCAAGTTGACATATCTAGCAATCTTTTGGTGTTCACAATATGTTTATTGACTGAAAAATAGGTTCAGTGCAGTTCTTATTGAGTTATGTATTGTGATGTTCATCTCCCCATTGAAAAAAACTAGGTTCTTGTACTTTTGCTCTGAAAAAATAAGAATATTTAATATCAAGGCATTTAGATGAAAACATTCATGAAGTTGGGATTATGTTGCTTGTAGCATATAATATAGCAATCTTTGGTGTTCACAGTATGTTCATTGACTGACAACAAAAATCTTCAGTTCAGTGCTCATTAAGCTATGTATTGCTCACTGTTCATCTGCTATGTAAAAAAACCAAGGGAATACCTTTGCTCTGAAAACTGTGAGCGAGTCAAATGTTTCCATGGACTTGGCACTCTCAGGAATGGCCCGGTGCAGGAGGCAGACCAACGACACGTACTGCCCGCGGTTGAGCGAATCGCCAACAAACAGCATGCGCTTGCCCCGCAGCATCTCCAGCATCAGAGTCGCATTGAAGCTGCATTTTCAGGTGTGAGAATAGGGCACATAGCATAAAGTTCAATACTGTATTAAAGCCATAACAACCACCAAAAACCATAGTTTGATAAAGCAGTTTAACATTTTTTTAGTTGTGGTTCAACTGGAACACTCATGCAGTTGGCACTCGGCCATACAACACTAGTGGGTTTAGTTCTCAGAGTGACTGAGATTGTTGTCCAACCATCAGACTCGAGCAATCTTAACCAACAGATTCAGCGTCACGTGTTTTTGAATAGAAGTTCAGTGCATCAGACTGCTAACTGTGTCCGATAGATAGCCCACGCGCTGTCTCTGAGCATTCAGACGGGGGTTTGCAACAAAAAGAGAAGCCAAAACTGTTGCAGACGGTCCCGTAAATTATGCACCATAAACTATTGTGGTGCTGAGCATTAAGATCAATATTAAAGCCGTAACAACCACCGAAAACCTTAGATTGATAAGTGTGTTCAACATTTTTAGATGGCGGTTCAACCGCAGCAGTCATGTAGCTGCACACTGCCATATAATACTACTGGGTTTAATTCTGACAGTGACCGAGAATTTTCCATGACCATCTGCCTCAACCCCTATTAACTGAGCAGTACGGACAACAACATGTTCACATTCTCTAACAATAAGAGTTGAGCGCTACACTGTATCAGAGTGTGACCGCTAACGGTGTCCGATATACAGCCTATGCAGCTGGTACTATACCATACGGTACTACTATTGAGTTTAATTTTGACAGTGCCTGAGATTGTTGTTCTGTAACCACCTGACCCAACATGTGTTAACCGGGAAGTAGGCCAACGGTGTCCAGTATACAGCCTATGCCGCTGTCTAGAAACTTATTGATAAGCCTCTGCAACAAAACATGTTGTGCGCCATAGACTATTGTGGTACGTAGCATAAAGATGAATATAAAGTCATAACAACCACCAAATTCCATAGCCTGATAAAACAGTTTAACATCTTTTAGATTGTGGTTCAGCTGGAACGCTCATGCAGCTGGAACCCTGCCAAGCAACAGTGCGAGTTTAAATTTTGACAGTGACTGAGATTGTTGTTCCGTAACCATCCGGCCCGACCCGAATTAACCAGGCAGTACGGACGACGGGTTCAGCGTCGCATCCTGTGAGAATAAAAGTTGAATGTCCCATTCCTTCGAGTGCGACCGCCAACGGTGTCCGGTATACAGCCTACGCCGCAGTCTAGAAAGTAGAAACGTTTTGACAAAGTCTATGCAAACAAAAGGAGAAGCCACGAACAAACTCGTGCAGATGGGCCTGCCGCGAATCGCGCAGCACCCATCGCCCCTAACGTCGTCGTCGCGAGGATATTCAGCGCTTCCTTAATTCCCAGCCAGCGAAGTATCAGAAACCATGCTGGCAAATGCGGGTCGGCCGTGGAAGATGGACAGCAACGGGGCAACACTAGAACCCCATCAGGAGAAAAGCAAAGCGTGATTAAGGAACCCCTCTAGTAGCATCCAAGTGGAGGGTCCATGGCAACCCACGCCCGCAGAAAAAGAAAATACTAGGGAGGAGAAGGAGATGCTTGATGATTCGTACGGCCGTATCAATGCCGGCGTCCCGGTTGCCGTGGCCCGCGTCCCCCATGGCACCATCCCCTTGCTTGCTCGGTCAGAGGAGGCGCCCCGTGCTCCCACGTGACGCCTGCCGCTGCATTTGCTTTGCGCTGCCTGGCCCGGGAGCACGCGGCACGAGATGGGTCAATGAAACACAGCTGGACGCCTCGTGTGGGAGTGGGACGAGGCGAGGGGCGACGCACCATGATTTTCCATGGCGGATGGACCACGCGCGACTGGACTGGAGGAGTCTGGACCGCCGTGTGCCGTGGCTTGTCGTCGCCCACCCACACGCGAAGACGCTCCCCCGTTACGGTCAGGGACGGAAAAGTCTCGGGTTAGTTAGTTAAGGAGTCCCCGCTAAAATAACTGCAACTGCATCTGGTTGTGCCGTCCACACGCCGGACTCGGCACGTTGGACGCGAGCAGAGTCGTCGGCGCATGGACTCGTGTCGTGTCGCGTCGCTCGCCGCGCCCCCACCACCGCCACCACGACCTCGGAGTGGCCTACCTACCTACCGAAGTCCCGACCCCAACCCCAGCGGTGGGGTGGTTCGCCTACCTCAGAGCCTCGTAGCGCCTGAACCCGCCCGGACGGAAGCAACCAAAGCCAAGCGCGTCCGGCCAAACCCCACCGGCCGGATTCATTAACCTCGAAATCTCGCTCTTCTTCGCCGTTGCTAACCTGATAACCGTAAGATCCTAACCACCCGGTGGACTGCGATCGATTCGTCCGCTCCGTCGAGTCGGCATCGCGGCTTGGATCGAGCGTTCTTTTCTTTTCTCTACTCTCGACGACTTGTTTGTAGCATTGTTTTCTCGTCATGGGATGGGGCGCAAAGATCCAAACCCACTATCGCCGTCGAGAGGTGGAGGAAGATGTGATTTTGTAGATTAACGATAATGTGCTGTGATTTACTGACCTTGGGAGCGAGCAGCCGCGGGGCTGCCACCGCCAGTGGCGGTAGGCGGTGTCGGGGCGGCCGTGCGCATTGCAGGTCAGCTGCGGCTGGATGTAGGGGCACTCCTCCTCCTGGTACAGCGGCCGCGCCGCCTCGTCGTACACCCACTCGCCGCGGGCCACGTCGCAGCCCGCCGCCGCACGCCCCACCGCAAACGGCAGCGACAGCACCGCCGCCGCCGCCGAGCGGGAGCCCGGCACCTTCTCCTCATCCTCCGCGGCGGCGGCGGCGGCCTTCTTCTCAGCCACCACCGGTCCGACCTTGCCGCCCACGGGGACATGGGGATGGGGCCTGGGGTGGTGGGGCCTGGGGCGGTGGCGGGGCGGCGGGTGGTGGAGGAAGGGCTGGTGGAGCGTGGAGGTGAAGTCCTTGAAGTAGAGCAGGGAGACGAAGGTGATGAAGGCGAGCGTGAGCGCGTACGAGGTCAGGAACGGCGTCCGCCGCCCGTGCCCGCCGCCGCCGGCCGCGCCGTGCTGCGGCTTCATCATCCTGCTCCTCGTCGTCTCGCCCCAGACTCAGCTCGATCGATCTTGCTGCTGCTTGCCGGCTAGATTGCCGCCGCCAGCATCGCAAGATGCAATGGAGATTCGTGCGCGGGGCGATCCGATCTGGCGCGGCTTGGGGAGGGGAATCTGCTGGGCGGTTGGGATCTGGGGGTGGGGGAGGGGGAAGCGCTGGTGTTCTTGGCTTTGGCTTTGGCTTGGCTTTGTTGAGGGGAGGTGAAGCTTGGAAGGCAGCTCGCTTTCGGGTTTGGGCCCTGGCAACTTTGGTGAGAAGTGGAGTAGGATTGAATGCTGGGGGTGCGGTGCTGGTGCGTGTCCGAATGGTGGTTTCTGGGTGGGGTGGAGGACTGCCCGATGGCTCCATCTCAAACCCTGAAACTAGGCGAGAAACTGGGGGCGTTTGCTCCAGTAAACATGGACCGATTACAGCAATTACTAGTGCGCTGCTCTCGTGATTACTCTGCAATTACTGTGCTGCATGTTCGTTTAATATACCGCGTGTCTGCATTACTACTCGAGGCGCATGCCAGAAGTAAATCACTTTGGTCAGTTACCTGAGTTCAAAAAAATAGGAGTACTCTATACAGCTAAAAAATTTGAGCTTCCCCTTTGCTTGTGCTGTTCCATTAACCGGCTGGTGACCTGTGAAAATCAAGCACTGGCATCGCTAACTTGTACGTTAATCAAACAGCCAGCGCACCGGCACCAGTTCCGCGTTCGAACCGGGAAGGCCGGGAGAGGGGCCGTGTGTCCCCCAGGGCACCAGATCCGGCTTCCACGTGACCCCACTAACCCACCCCCTGTTCAGGTTCGCCTCGTCGACGCAAGCAGCACCAGTTGTTGTGAGGTCCGGCGCTCTCTCCCGTTGCCGGCCGGCACTGGACCATACGCCGGGTAGGCGCGCCCATTGCAGATCTGCAGTTATTGATGACACTGTGGCTACCTCAGATCGGTCGATGCTGGAAGAAGATGGCCGGTGATCAATGAAGTGGAGTACTGTACACTACTGGTACTACTAAACTCGCCTCCGACCACACCTTAGTCTTCAGGCCATTTGATGATTGATTGCGCGAGCATTAGGGCCATCTGATCTGATGAAACGCACGACCCAAACCCAAACCGGCCGCGTCTTTCCTGAAACCCCTGCACGCGCAGAAACCTGAAATCTTGGGTCGTTCGCGTGTCGTGTGGAACCGCGCGCGGCCGCCGATCTTTTCTCCTTCCATCGCGGGGCCTAACCTCGCTTCAATCACGCGCCGCGGCGTGCCGTACCAAATTTCAGTCTGGATCCTGGTGGGTCTTGCTGACCTTCTTGCGCGCCGTTTCCGCCCAAAAGCGCCGCGTTCTTCTCGTACCGTCTTTTCCTGCTCGCACGCATCGCTCTCGTCCTTGTGCATTCGCCACCGCCGATGCATGCTCGCCGCGTTCACCAACGTGTGTGTATTCGCGAGCCCGAGACTTGGTTGGGGCGACCCTTAACTGTCACGACAATGCCGCTTCAACCAGGGGCGGACCTAGAACAAAAACTTCCCGGGGTCCATGTGCACGCCATAAATGATGGATACTAAGCAATAATACACACAAAAGCAACCCACTAAATACCTTAAAATGTCCAATAATAATAAAAATAATTATCAAAATGAAGTGTTCCCTTGAAATTCTTGTTGATTGTGTAAAATTAAACAATAAAACATAAGATCTCCAAACAATAGGAACAAATATGATCAGGCAACATGAATTCCCTCATAATTCGCTGATTATTATGTCATCACAAGTGCACAAGGAGTTACAGTATTTGTGTTTGTAGGCAGAAACAACAAATAAACCTTTAACTTCACAACCATACATTTCGATCAACAACTTACTTGACATTGTGTCTTAATGCTGCCGCGTAGTCGACAAATAATCCAAGGTTCCAAATGGATGTGAATAACCAAGGAAAATTTATCAAATCACGGAATCCAAATCTCTGTTGTAATACCCTTGAATTTGAAAACACCAGCCATACAATCTAGGTAAAGAATTAGAGAAAATTGGGATATGTACATATGTTTCAGACAAATTGGCGACCTTACTGAGAGCAATATTATTCTTCGATTATTTAGCAATCTGCAGCCGCCAGCGGATGAGTGCAGGGGATGGCGGCTGATGAGTTGCAATTGATCGGGGGTGAGGGGCGGCGGCGCGACGGAAGGAGGCGAGCACGCACCAACCGAACTGGCGCAGGATCCAATCGATCGCTATCTTGTTTTCTTTGCTCCCTCGAGACGATCGACAGCCGGATGGGCCTTCAACTAGATGGGCCGTGCCTGAGCTTGCTCCAACTAAGTCTAACGGGTGTCCAGATTTATTTTTTACCGGTGTCCAAGACTCAAATACGAAGTAGTATACACGTAAGCGCAATTTCTACCCGGTGTCCTGTGACACCGGTTGCATGAACGTAGGTCCGACCCTGGCTTCAACGCATGTGCGGAAGGTTGTTGATTTAGAGAGGTTTTGCTTTAATGAAGGCATGGGAAAGATTATGCCATATCGACGTTGTCACGGGCCTCCATGGGTCTGAATCCTTTCTACGTTTGCCACGGGCCTCCTTTTATATATCAAGGGGTCATCAAAATGGTAATCATGGATGCCCGGCAAGCCTTGTCGGGTTGTTCTGCCACCTCTGCCACCTTCTTGCCTGTCTGCTTGACACGTCGCTGGACGGGTGTCATTTGGAGGTGATTTCGTAGGAAGTGGCTGCCGTGTGGCAAGAAACAGCCACTTAGTCACTTGGGGGCTTGACACCGCACCGATCGATGACTTGCGTCGTCGCGAGGTAGAGCGGTGGAGCCTTGGCGGGGTAGTTTTCCTTCGTAGGCCCCGACAGGCCTGCCGGGACGGTCTTGATGCTTATTCTTGGAGCCACCTGAACCTCGCCAACCTCGCTGGCCCGACAAGGGAGGTTTTCCGTTAGCGGTGTCTTGCTCCATTGGCTTGACTTGGTCTTCTTGATCTGCCCTCTGATTTCTTAAAGAGCTAGTCTCTTTAGCTTGGTCTTGCTTGGATGTCGCGGTCTTGCTCTTTTGGGCCCGTGCACAGTCTGGGCAACAGGCCCAGGGTTTTGTTGGGGAACGTAGTAATTTCAAAATTTTCCTACGCACACGCAAGATCATGGTGATGGTATAGCAACGAGAGGAGAGAGTGTTGTCCACGTACCCTCGTAGACCGTAAGCGGAAGCGTTATGACAACGCGGTTGATGTAGTTGTACGTCTTCACGATCCGACCGATCCAAGTACCGAGCGTACGGCACCTCCGTGTTCAGCACACGTTCAGCTCGATGACGTTCCCCGGGCTCCAATCCAGCAAAGCGTCGGGGATGAGTTCCGTCAGCACGACGGCGTGGTGACGATGATGATGTTCTTCCGGCGCAGGGCTTCGCCTAAACTCCGCGACGATATGACCGAGGTGGAATATGGTGGAGGGGGGCACCGCACACGGCTAAGGAACGATCTATAGATCAACTTGTGTGTTCTAGGGGTGCCCCCCTCCCCCGTATATAAACGGGGAGAGGAGGAGGGGGCCGGCCAAGGGGAGAGGCGCGCCCTAGGGGGGGCAATCCTACTCCAAGTAGGTTTGGCCCCCCCTTTCCTATTAGGAGTAGGAGAGGGAAGGAAGAGAGGGGAGGGAAGAAGGAAAGGGGGGGCCGGCCCCCCTCCCAATTCGGATTGGGCTTGGGGAGGGGGGCGCCCCCTCCTTTGCCCCTTCTCCCTCCTTTTCACTAAGGCCCAATAAGGCCCATATACTTACCGGGGGGTTCCGGTAACCTCCCGGAGCTTCGGTATATTCCCAATCTCATCCGGAACCTTTCCGGTATCCAAATATATCCGTCCAATATATCAATCTTTCTCGACCATTTCGAGACTCCTCGTCATGTCCGTGATCACATCCGGGACTCCGAACAAACTTCGGTACATCAAAACTTATAAACTCATAATAAAACTGTCATCGTAACGTTAAGCGTGCGGACCCTACGGGTTCGAGAACTATGTAGACATGACCTAGAACTATTCTCGGTCAATAACCAATAGCGGAACCTAGATGTCCATATTGGTTCCTACATATTCTACGAAGATCTTTATCGGTCAAACCGCATAACAACATACGTTGTTCCCTTTGTCATCGGTATGTTACTTGCCCGAGATTCGATCGTCGGTATCCAATACCTAGTTCAATCTCGTTACTGGCAAGTCTCTTTACTCGTTTCGTAATACATCATTTCATAACTAGCTCATTAGTTACAATGCTTGCAAGGCTTAAGTGATGTGTATTACCGAGAGGGCCCAGAGATACCTCTCCAACAATCGGAGTGACAAAACCTAATATCGAGTTATGCCAACTCAACATGTACCTTTGGAGACACCTGTAGAGCACCTTTATAATCACCCAGTTACGTTGTGACGTTTGGTAGCACACAAAGTGTTCCTCCGGTAAACGGGAGTTGCATAATCTCATAGTTACAGGAACATGTATAAGTTATGAAGAAAGCAATAGCAACATACTAAACGATCAAGTGCTAGGTTAACGAAATGGGTCATGTCAATCACATCATTCTCCTAATGATGTGATCTCGTTAATCAAATGACAACTCTTTTGTCCATGGCTAGGAAACATAACCATCTTTGTTAAACGAGCGAGTCAAGTAGAGGCATACTAGTGACTATATGTTTGTCTATGTATTCACACATGTATCATTATTTCCGGTTAATACAATTCTAGCATGAATAATAAACATTTATAATGATATGAGGAAATAAATAATAACTTTATTATTGCCTCTAGGGCATATTTCCTTCAGTCTCCCACTTGCACTAGAGTCAATAATCTAGATTACATAGTAATGATTCTAACACCCATGGAGTCTTGGTGCTGATCATGTTTTGCTCGTGAGAGAGGCTTAGTCAACGGGTCTGCAACATTCAGATCCGTATGTATCTTGCAAATC